GGTCAGTGGTACGCTCATTTGCCTCATCCACCACGTCCAGGGCCGTCATGCCTATCTCCTGTCAACCCTCACATGGATGATCAACCTCTACCAGCCATGTCACCCACTGGACCGCATCCAATGAACGTTGATGACATGGAGCCTTCTGTGTTTCCAGCAGAATACATGCCCGCTACACCGCCCTCCACTAGGCGTCCCGCAAATAGGCGTCCCTCCAATATCTACGACGATTCCGGCCCAGACGGATTCCAACTGTCCATATGGCCAACACAACACTTTGATGCCTTTGACAACGGATCATCTTTTGCTCAAAGGGATGATGAGAAGGAAGAAAAGGAGGAGGAGGAGGAGGAGGAGGAGGAGGAGGAGGAGGAGGAGGAGAATAAGGGGTGGGATGATAATGAGGAGAATTTTGAATATGGAGGCGATGATGAGGATGACAGGGAAGACGAGGCTGAAGACGGAATCGTGCGTATAGATGGGGTCTGCTTGATCTTCGTAACTTAGCAGTAATATTCTTCTAGGCTCAACTATGGAGAAAATTACAAGAAATGGAAGAGCGTCTGAACGCAAACTTAACCAATGGTTTATCAAACTTGGCCTCCTCCTTCACCTCACTCCCGAGCGCAGTACAGCCAAAGCCCCAACGGGGTCCCAAGATGACAACCGGTATCCGAATTCGATCCCCACACTCCATTGCTATGGCGGTGAGAATGTTGGTTCAACAGCCATAGTCATAGCTGACATTTTTGAAGAAATCGGTTAGGTTACATATCAGCAAGCTCATGAATAACCGGCTTCGAGTCGCCACGGAAAATGAAGTTTCCGCTTTCAATCATCGCTGGCCTCCGAGTCGTGAGGGACCCTGCACATTATCATGCGGTGTATGCTTTCCCCAAAGTCTAGGGGTGCATACCCACGGAAAAGGATTCATAACCCCGATGGTCCTTTTAGCACTTCAAAACGTTTTGTTTCCCAACTTCCAACGAATGCGTATAATGAAGCGTGGCTCGCTGACCAGACTCGCCTTGATGGCGCTATCATTGTAAGACCCATGATGCAAAGTTATGATTTCAACCACAACACACAAATCT